AGCAGCCTTTATCAGCAAGGCTCGGTAAGTAAGTTCAAACCTCTGGCTCAAGTTCGTGCTGATATAACTTTCTTTGTAACTGTTTATGAGATTAACAACGCCACCTGCTCCGGCGATTTCAGCATCTCAATCGAGTTCACACATTGAGAACAGATGACCCTATTCGATAACTGCGATAAGTTGACGGCTGTGGAATCGTGGAGAATCGCCGCACGACAATATATGCCGTGCTCGCGTCTGCTAAAGCAAAGTAGTTGTAATACGTGCAACACAGCCCTGCCTATGGAATATACAATACTATAACCATTTCGTTGAAACAGACTTCTTGTAGCCTCTCGCCAGTTGTATTTCATATACTCCTAATAACTCACGTGTTATAAAGGGTCTATTCTTGCTTGGCTACGAAGGGTCTCCGAAAAGATGCCACAGTACATATTTGGCAAGTACTCGAATATGAATATATATTTTCATAAAGAGAACATGATGTCGAAAGCGTTATAGATACCTACTTTACGTTATATATTACTTACATAGATATTATTTACTCGTTTATTTTCGGAAGGTCTTTTCCTATAAGTAGAGATTACGCATAAACATGCAGACAAAACTATTCGTTCAACGTGCTTTCCCATTAACAGGTATTTTTCTTCCTTGTTTTCGATGAACACTACGTTGTTTCTTAGCTAGGATCAGCTTTAATGACGAAAAAAAATACATAGGTAATCATTCGGGTAAATGAGCACAAAAAAATTTCTTAGATACTCGATGGGGACCATAAACAACGTTGGACGTCAAACCTTTCATCTGAATTTCATCATCATCTGCATCAGATCTGCCTGCAGGAATCAAGTGTGTAGAGGATCTCAGGGAAAATATGTTCGAGCTCGATATACGTTCCTATGTCATCTAAAGGTGAACATAACATCGAAGCAATAAACACCATTCCCTTATAATGACGAATCAACGCCAACGATTCCCCTATCGAATGGAACTGCTCTCATAGATGTCTGCCATCGTTAGCTTGGTCGTTGGCTATATGCGATTAGTCTATTGCCATTATAAGAGATGGCTTCCTCGTATGAAATCCCACTAAGCGCAAAGCATAGCGCAAATCCTCAACTTGTTAAAAATTTCCTGGTTATCACTGCAACGGAAAATTGTGGCCTTCTTTGCCCACTTAGGCTTCGTTGAACGCCCGTATCACCGTGGTGTTCCTTATGGTATCCCTCTATTTATTTCTCTCTTTCTCTCACTTACTCTGGAACATAGCCTGCGACACACTCTCAGATTTCGAAAACGGGTTCAATCGATCGTATCCAGTACGATGGACTGCATCGTATGAACTTTGGCCTTGCCTCATAGAAGGCAAGACGAAATGTCCGCGGATGATTTGCAAATAGAACCAGATCCAATATAGACGAAATTAACTCGACTCGTTATAGAAATGGATACGTGTCTGCACTTGTCTGGGCCACTTCCGAGTCAGCTTTAAGAACCTGAATTGTTGTACTCTGAAGAATACACTGTTGTGGATTTCGATTGTGGAAGATATCTTCCGTAAGTATTCCCAAGTGTCCGCTAATAACTCTTAACATGCTGATTTTGTTTTACACGATAGTGCCAATGCACAAGTGCCACACAGGTATATGTACATTGGTTGTCGTACTTGCCTCCTACTTTTTTTGTTAAAACGCACGAAATTTCGAAAATTCAACATATGTGGCAGTATGACAATGGTAAATCGTTGCTTCAAGTGCAGGGCTGATTTAGATAATCATTCAACTGACGATTCAGACGAACAAAATCTTAGACACGAATCTCAAATAAATATGCATAGTACAACACGAAGGCTTTATGGGCGTAGAAGCTGTCGATTTTAAGTGTTTATTAGTAGAAAGTGAACTTTAATATGTGACACACAAACCAGCTTCGTTTTTTTAAGGCGATCTTTCACTTTGTCATTTGACTGGAGAACCGAAGAGGTTCTTAAATCTACGTAAAAACGGACGCGTTAAATGGTAACGTATGGTTCTACGCAATAGCCACATATACTTTCTCACACGACGAGTCACTCTTTTGCGATGCGTTATCAAAAAAGTTAATGACACGATTATACAACCATTATTTCTGTGCAACGAAAAAGACAAACTTTTGTTCGTCCATATTGTTGAATCCCTCTCACAAATACTGAAGATTTGATCTTGGAATATTTGCTGCCAGAATAGGACCGGACGCTGTGCGTAAAGCAGAGCATGTATCATCTCTAACCCTAACAGCCTCGGGCACGACGCGAATAGCTTTCTCGTCCCTCGTAAGGCGATATGTAAAATTCTTAACGACGTTTAGACCTATAATATGAGGATGTATACCGCAGAGATTCATGCACAATCATAGGTGGTAAAGCTCCCAGATGCGCGCCAACCGCCAAAGACTAAACAACGTCCAGTCGTCAAACAGGGGGCGCTTTTTCCGTAAGTCAGTCTCGTCCATGTAAACTAGCATTAGCCATTTAAGGGCAGAACATTTTGGCACGGGTCGTACTCGCGAGAGGGTATCTCGACAGAACGGAAACAATGACACAAAGCCGAAGGAACGTCGCATTTACAAACTGCATCGCTACAAGAGCGAGCGCGTGCGTCCGACGGCCTTCGTAGCGGCGTTGGAAACAACTTCAGAGTAAGGCACTGCAGGCCAAGAATTGGCTTAGAAAACTACGAGTGTAAATAAAAATTAAGTTTACAAACTTGTTGAATGCACCTTTGTTATTGATTACGATTTTCATGTCGGTTATATATGACGCCAATCCAGCTGTGCTCACTATGAAAACAGCTTGTATGGCCTATACGAGCACACTTGTTTATAATGTAGTGCCTCTATCGATTATATAACATGCCAAATGAGCCAAAAATGAAACAATTAAGCGCTAATAATCCTTTTTCTATAAACCTGCTATTAACGGTCAATTTGACCGTCTGCAAAATTCTCTCAAAAGAACATATATGTCAACGTTTGAGAATGGCCAACATAGCGTCATTCCAAGTCAGCGTTTAATTATAAAGAAAAACACCATTTCTTTGTAAAGTTCAGTTATCACGTTGACCGGGTTGGGTTGAGGTCGGTGAAGACCTGTTGGTAAGCGCTTAATGTTTAAGTAGCGGTACTGATGATTATACCGTCTCGTTGTGACAAATATATATATATACTGTACGTGGGCAACAGCTAACTAGAATAATCTATTCCTCCAATGATATGAGTTTTTTCAACTAAATACCTATGCTAGCTAGGTGAAAGATAACCTAATCCACATAAAAGATACTTGAATACCCATGACTAGCGTCACTTCGAGATATCCACGCTTTTTTAAGATAAAAACATATATAATATTTTAAGAGGCGACACTATTTTAAATAAACATTTCCAGAAATTACACTAACAGCAGTCTACTGCTCACGCGGACGTAACTATCCCTGATAAAATCGTCAAGGCAAAAATTGGTTCAAGTGGCCTGGGAAGTCACCACTATAATGAATCTTCAGGCTTTTCGACGTTGCTATAGTTACACGTTACTGTTAAGATACAATTATCATAGGCCTTTGTCGTTTCCGAATACAGGCTTCCCTTGCGCTTTCTTTTCCTCTCTTACCGATTCTCTTTTAGGCGGAATTACGAGACTTATTATTTGCCGATATGAAGGACGTGATCTCGTCTTCCTTCATGTCGCGAACGTGAATCCTCGGCCCACTCATATGCCACCTATTCATTAATGTGCACAGTCAGCGCAAAGGATCTATCGCGCGTCTTTTTCTTTCTTGCGTCTGGTACTCTAGGCGTTAGGCATGACTTCAGACAGCTGGCTCTCAGCGTGCTTACGCTTCAATTCAAACCCAGACTACCACATGTCTCTAAGTAAGTTTAGATTCAGCAGGGAAGGAAGTTAACACTGTCTGAACACGGGAACGATCAATCGGTCAGAGTGACTGACCTAATCGCATCCAACCGGCGAAAGACAAATTTTCAAATAAGGATCGCGTGATCATCATCACTTTTCAGCCTTGGCCTTCCCGTGCTTCGACATCGAAATATTAGCACCAACGACGGTAGCCTATCTCGGCCTACTTTTGTCGCACACGGTTTTTATACATACGATTCATCTATCTCACTCTGCCATACTGATCAACGTAACATGGTGCGAAAGCCACCACTACCATGTCATCGAAACAATGAGAAGAAAATGCTAATTGAAACTGCAGAAAATGACTGCATAACCGAATAGGGAGTAGAGAGGGAACTCCTTTGAACGTGCGTGCTATTTGTCAGAAATGAATGAGCGGGTAATCATTTCAGACAAATAGTTCCTCACAACTGCACCGAGCACTATGTCGTTGGCGATGACACGCAGGCCCTATTCACACCTACAGCATTTACATAGAATCCAAATATCAGTGCAGAATAATACATTTGGGAACGGTTTTGACGGCTCGTACGTCTTCCCATCGTAGAATCAAAATCACAAACCATCTCGCTTTCAAAAATAGACGCTACGAGTACAAAAATCATCGTAGTAAAACGGTCGTGACAAGTTTAGAGGAATCGCGTCGCTATGACCGAAGTAACTATTCTTCCGCGAACAGCCGATCTGTCTTTTAAATGACTTCATTTAAATGACGGATGCACGGGAGTTTTCAATGCAGGCAGTAGCTGGTTCGATAAAACAACGGCATGAGGGTAATAACCAATAATTATGTCCATACGATAATTATATACGAGAGCAGAACGAATCGGAAGAGTTAGTCCGCAGTTTCAAATATATTTTGAAAATCGCAAAAGACCCACCCCTTGTGAAAATTAAGCTGTCATTTGCCTTTTCTATTTTCCTTCAAGTAGTAAGTAGTTGCCCTTAGTTCCTTCGAACGAATTACCAAGTATGACTGCTACCAAGCTAAAATTGAATAATCAATTTTTGGTCAATGGTGAAAATCTAAAGCCACTGCAAAACTTACCTTACTGTCTACCTTTTTGTATTTTGTTTTATTGGCCCGATTGAGGTCTTCGTGCACTTTATCCAATAACCAGATCAGAAACTCCTGCGCATCGTGTTGCTCGGAACCGGCGTACTGCGGCCCATACTTACCTACAACACTTTTCAACCTATGTAAACAAAATATTGTCAATATTGGATAGTAAAATTACCCTGCCCTTACATGATGCATCGTTTCTTTTAGGTATCTAAGCGCACAACGCGCGCATGTAGACACATGCGTATCTATGCACGCACTGAATAAATACTCTCCAATTCTACCGCACTCACCTGGCACTGATTTCCGGATACATCGTACTGCTCCATAGGCTCTTAATAAGTAGGGCAAGCTGTTCGGTGACTTCGCCTCGAGTGCCGTACTTTTTACGGTTGTTTTTTCGAGCGTAGCTCAGATCTACCTGATAGCGATTAAGGACGAGATACTCGGCGAACGCGTCCGTGTTTGACAGACACTGTACGATGGCGTTTAGATAACAGGTGTTCCCATGGTTCCGTATACCAGCTATGCCTCCGACGACAAATGCCATTCCGCTTCCATCGTCGCCCGCATCATCTACCGCCTAAATCGCAAGGTTGTACGCGCACGAAGGTGACAACTACTCGATAGCAACATATATTTTTGAAGACATGCCAAACCAATATTTTGTGTTTTAGTCTATTAATGCTTTTCTGTGTTATTAGCTCATGCAATCATTACAATTTATTACGGCACCGCGAATTTTCAAGGGCACATGGTTTTACTGGTAACAAGCTGCACATGCCAGTATTGCGTGAGCAGAAACTGAAGTGTTTTCCTTCATTTGCTTTGTTTGTTGGATAGGAAAAGCATCCCATCAAAAGACTTCAACCCAGAAAACAGTCATTATTACTTAACAAGTAGATGTACATTTTAGAAAAGTTTTAAATTTACACAGTAGATTAAGAACCGGCAAAGCACGATCGAGTGACGTTTGTAAAATCAGTCTCCTATTTGTGACGAAATGAATTTTAGCACTAGTAACAGTGTTTTTTTTATTAATCGAATGTTGTGTGTCAGTTGTACAACGACTCTATCATTATGCATTATCGTCTTGACTATGCGTGCTTCAAATGTATGTATATATATATCAAAACGGTAGGTAATTGGAGCGAGTAGAGTGAAACAAGAAGAACGTTTTTGTTTGTTTCAAATAAAAATCCGAGCTATTAAATCTGGTCTTCGTCGGCTTCCCACGATACTTTTTGTGTACCCATGCGGTGCTCCATTACTTTCCAGGCCAGCTACATACACATACACGGTTGTAGACACCCGGAAATTTCCTCATGGCGCCTTGTCTTTACATTGCCCCTAACCATAACGACTTTTTCGTTATAGTTCGTATTTGTCAAGCACCTAATCCTTAGAACGCCTCGATAGTGAGGACACTGCACGCTCACGTACAACCTACAGCTTCCCATTGATTAATATAGAGAAGGCAGCCGTACTTTTATCACTCACACACATTGCGTAATTATGTTCGTGTCTATACACACAGATATTTTAGTGTCTTACATATATAGTTCGCTTCTGGCGGGACCAGCTTGAATCTGACTTCTAATGGTAACATTGGGGACTGCTACCATCCGCATGCCAACGCGCACTAACAACCACTGTGGATGCTTTTATTTTCTCTCTAAACCATTCGCGCTTTTCGTACTACAGTCCCTTCGTTTTCATCAGCACTATGACCTCGACCCGACGTCCTATTGGGCACAAGCGCTCTACATCAATTGTGTGCCGATTGCTGACTAGCCTTTTTCAGGCCCGGTTTAGATTAGCTAACCTCAATCATGGGTAGCGAAAACGACTTAGTCTTCGTGCTCGACTCCCCTTCACTGTGATCGATCGATGTAAACAAAAAAAAAAAAAACGTTACTACGCTCCATGTGAAAGCGCTATAGTTTCATCGCGCCTGTAATATTCGTCGATTGCTCCCAAGTGCCCAGCTAGGAGCACCTGACAAAAATGCCAGCCCTCAAAGGGGCAAAACGTCGCGTAGAATCCGCACGAGGGCGCCATTGTTATTCCAACGGCTCGAAGGCTCGCAGGATGCACGCTGTCATAGCTGGCGTAAGACGTACTCGATTGTCGACTGAAGCTATTCCCAAGGATGACGCTGACGTCAATGATGATTAAGGTGATGGGTATCTTGATGAAGCCGAGCACAGCCTTGGCTGTTGTCTCTCCTAGCCTCAACTGCGAAGCGTCCACAGCGTTTGCACTGTGTGTATGTGTGCACGCGACGATCAGGTACGTGTGATGTTGGCATCGAGTAATGTTTTTCTTTTATTTACTGATGCTGCTGTTGTTTTGTCTACTACAGTGTCAAAAACTACCGCACGTAGTAAACCGGACACTAGCCGTTCAGCTGTCACTTGCAGAGTGACGCGCTAATTACGACACAAAGCGTCGTAGCTAATATCATATCCAGTATCAGCCATAATGAGATCACCGTGACGAGAATCTGAGGTGCTAAGAAGCAAAAGCTTGACAGCCACTAGTTCACTTCGATTCTGATAGTTCCGTACGATGGCCCAGCTCTAAAATCAAAGCAATTCAAGTGCCTATTGGCGAATATTAGAACCTAATTATAAACTGTAAGAAGACGCCCATGGTACAATAATACACATTTAAAGTAAATGATACAACTCTACTATGCGTGATAACTCATGAGATATAAACGATTATACATTTTTTTTTCATAACCGTAACTTCGCAGTTACCGAAGGTAATTAGTTAATCGGGCAGAAGCTACAGCGGGCTGTCATATAGTTTAACGACACATCATGCTTAGAATCAATCGTAGCCAACGTCTAAACATTTATTCTGAAAAGCACTATCGATCTCCAATGATCAACAACAAGTAAACACATATACCCGAAGTACGTCTACAAGTACTCGTTACATTTCCGCATTGAGAATTAACATGGCCGCTTCGACAGCAGCGAATAAGCTGAAGTCATCTTCGAAGAGAGAAAAGCTTACGATATGTCGTGTGGATCTTGTAATCCCACAACCGATTCCATTTTCCAGGTCCGAGATAGGTGCAACTAGATAGGCGTAAGAAAGAAAGGTTTACTTAATATGTGGCTATAGGGGAAAGCCTGTTGAATGTGCTATCCGTTTAAAGTGTAACGTCCTTGACGACATATTTGACATATTATAGACTGATTTGACTCCGTTAGCGATAAACGAACACCTCATCCTTCGGATACCTTCCGTCTACTCTATAACACCTGAACAAATCCTGAAGGAACCGAACGAGAGCTCGAGCCACGCTAGGAAAAATTGCAGACCATCTCAGCAGTACCATCATTTTAATGTAGTTACGTGACTTGGCAATACTGTATACGGCAGGCAGCCACAGAAATCAATTATACTGACTGGCCATGTTTTCAGTACCACGCTCACACAAAGTTTTACTTTACGAATAAACAAAAACACACAGAAGACGCATTTGCATAACAACTAAAAAAAAAAAAAAGCAACCACTAAAATGTGTACTCTGATCTATCGGGTACTTTATTTCCTCGCATTCACAAGTATTCATTTAAACAAAAGCCAAGTCAGGTGCTGCCTGGCATGACATAATGGTACTGTTATTGACCAAATATGTATTTTTACACTGCCAAAATGTTTGCGTCGTTAGAATCCTTCCAAAATCTTCCCAGATGGCGCGACTTTTCCACTTGATGCATTTTAAAAGAAACTAAAAACCCCATGATCGCCGACTGGAAATCTATGAGAATAACACACACAACACCTAGTCAGAACAACTCCTCCGCCCCATTGCTGTTCTAATTCTTATTATAGGATGGGTAGATATTGCTATAACAGAGGAAATTCTTATTAAAATGAAAGATGGTTTCAGCCGTCCCGTCGCCGATAGTAACACAACTGTGCGACACTGACCTTTATATAAGTGCCGTCCGTTCCTGGCGGATCAAGCCGTGAGCTTCATTGAGTTTTTCTATATTGTTTATATTACACAGCGCTTTTGTTGTTGTTGTTGTTGCTTGTATGCATCAGTTTGCACCCTCTAGCCCATCTTCTGCTATACAACATCATTTCGATGGCGGCCAATAGGGAACAATGGAACGAGCAGCTTTGCGTGACGTTTGATTCCTGCGACGGAGCTTGCTACTACGGCCGAGATAATGCGTAGCGAGGCGGCCTCTATAGCTAGCAGTAAGGGTTACTATTTTATGGTCGCCAAGCTGACATTACTGTTTTATAGCAACAACAGCAGCGGTTAGAATGCTCGAAAGGAGAGTGGTGCTTTGAGCAATTCGCGAACGTGAACCAAGCAACAACAGACGATCGAACAAATGAATACAGGCTCAATCCATGCCCCTGTATAATTGATTAGTCTAGTACTACTAACAGTCGTCCATTTTCTCTGACGCGCCATCAGAGTAGTGCAGAATAAGGGCCACAGATTCAACTATAAAACGCTGTTCTTTATGTTGGATGAAACTTATGAAAGTTTAATCATCAGCTTTATCGCTGATAATAATGAGAATGATAATGGCTTATATGCATTTCGGACAACAGGCTAGATTGCATTTATTTCTTGTTGGGTCATGGAAACAATCTACTGTGTACTTCGTCTAAACGATGACATGTTCTAGTAAAAAGGGCGTTCTCACCCAAAAGTAGAGCGAACTATTTATGACCCGAGGCGTGCACGACAAGTATATGCCATGACGGTTTTTCGGCTAGAACAATCGTCTCTCACTTATATCATAATCGCTTGTAATAGACTATTACTGTTTTGACGCATATCTGTTTTCATGGGACGATTCTACAGCTCATAAACGACTGGTGAAAATTTGATTCTGACTTTAGAAAATAGCACTGGATTAATATAGATTAGAAAAAAAATCCTTACCTCTATAAATGTATGTTTAAATCTTATCTATACGGCCACAATTATTTAAGATGAGTTCGGGTGGTAGTTCAACCGTGTGTATGTACTTTTAGCTTAGTGAAAAAAACACACGATACCATGAGAATGGCATTTCGGAGCACAAACAATCAACCTTATGCAAGACACAGCTTTAAAAACGTTTGCGAACGAATGCAAATTTCTCCGTTTCGTTACTACACGAATTAAACAAAAACAGCTAAAATAATTTATAGCAATAATAGTAATAAAGTTACATTCAGCGCTTACCTTGTCATAGTCGCAAGCTTCATCGTTTCTCAGTGCTCCGACTGTTAATCGTGTTGGCCGGTGACCAGTTGCTGCGGGCCGGGTGAGGTCACCATTGCTTAGACTGAGGTTCTTTTTTGCTGGAGGACGCTTGACAGAAAACGACCTCACTATTGAACTAAAAATTGACCTAGAATTGTGTGACAGACAAAAATTAGACCTTCTTCTCCTACCATATCTCATCTAAGTACATGCCTGACAACGCTGAATCTTAAATATGTTGCAGTTGTAAAGCTAACGCGAGCTTGAGTTAGCTTCAAACATTATCAACAGCGTAACAAGTTGTCAACGATGGTTGCTCTACCTTAAAAAAAACACTTTTTCGCATTTATTCTCTAAACTGGCATTCGAGAAGAAAACTCATATAGCCAACAGCAACGGCTTATTATGTTCTATTTAGGAGGTGGCCAATGTCAACAAAAATACCTAAAGTTGAGAATCAAGATGAACGCATTCGGTCATTGTAAACCACATCTAGCGACATCCGTACCCATTGCATGTACCTGACGCAATGTGATTATTTAACAAAACATAACTTTTATTTTCTCCAGTTTGACAGGCAGAAAACATAACGTTCACCGTGATACTAAGAAGGCATTCATCCGTCGTTAACGATACACACCGTCGTTCAGTACTGCGCGAGCTACGCCCTAAGGTGGGCGTCTGTTGTGGCGTCGCATCCGAAGTATTTTCGAGGGACGTATATTTTATATCTCGGCGCCCGACGAAGCCCACGGTCGACGACGAAGGACAGCTTTTTTTTAGAGGGAGCCTGTAATATCATAGGAAGAGTTCTTCATAATTAAGTTTTCCCGGGGTAATTACTGTAGTGACAAAGACCTTGGGATGACGTATTACAACAGTCATGCAAAACTTAAGTAAGTCTTTATTTCTCACTGGACAGTATTTGCTCAGAGTTCAATTTTATGTCACTAGAAGGTTGATTGCAAAGCTATGAACGATTTGACTGTTTTCGCTAATATCAAGATTAGCTAACTATCAAAACTTCGATGAATCAGACCAGTTGCAGTAGACACGCATTTACAATGAACACTTCTTAGTTAACTTGAAATTTTTATGACCGCCGGCACCGCGTTGGTTCTTAAAGATTTTGTTTGCTTTGACTCAAGTCGTTGTAGATTTATCATTATTATTATTATTATTGTTTTCTGCCGCCATCATACAAGCGCCATGTTGTATTCATGACTGCTTTATACCTATTGTTTATCGAACAAACGGTGAAAATAGAAGTGATCTCTATACTCCGTTCTATAATCAGATGTTTTCTTTAGGCTCAACTGACGTAACCTAAAGTTCGTCCTTCTTTGAAATTAAAACAAAATTAATTACAGTATATCGTCCACATGTACGCTGACATATATATATATATATATATGAATCTAGCTGAAGGCATGAAACTATTGACTTTTGAAACGACGTTTTTGTAAACCTAAACAGGTCTGACACTTACAGTAGCCCAAATTCCCTAAAAAAAATAACGGGATACGTCAACATTGTCTAATATTCATAATAAGCCTTATTTCTTCAGGCGATAACTCCAGAGTAAGCATTTGCCGAAGGACTGATAAGGTTTTTGATTGATACACGTGAACAATCCAGGTTATATTCACAGTACCGACTCGGTCAGTCAATAACACAGGCCAAAGTAGCTGCACCATGGACATATGATTTCGAGTGGACAACTGGGGTATTCTTGTCTATGCAAAACAAGCTCACGTCACGTCATAATCCACGACACACTTTAACGCTCACTAGACTTGGTCAAACGCTCTACAAGTGCCATGCTCGCTTAGTGGGAATTCGTCTTGAAAGGAACATCAGCCCCAAGCAGTCGTGGGCTTTGACATCAAACCAGTTGATATTTTGTCCTGTGTTAATGCAAAGTGCGATAATGGTCATTCACACATCACGTCGACGCCTGCATGTCTGTATCCGTTATTTTAACCATTATCGGCCATACAAACTCTATGTTCTGGCTCAAGCCCACGATGTTCGTGCTGTTTACGAAAGATGGGTTTGAGGGCCTTCAACTAGCAAAAGTAACAACAACGACCGCCTCATTACATCGGTTGCTAGACTATGCACAGCAAGTCGTGGAACAAACGCTGAGCTGTGCGCTCGCCATATAGAAATGAAAGCGCTTGAAAAGGCGGCGCCGTGGGGACGAGCGCGCAACTACATCGATCTCCACGTCATTGCCAACAGTTTCTGTAATGAGTGCCCTAATTCCAACAAATATGGCAACAGGGAAGCACTATGGGAACTCGATTACGATTGGCCAGCTTCTATTGGCGGTAGTGATTATCTATTATATATAATTATTTGCAGCTGTGGTCTTTGTGGGTGCTGTCAGTGGCGAAGTATCCTAAAGATACATTGTCTATGCCGGAAGCTATAAATGAATCTCGCAACATCGGACGCTAACCAGCGGCTATTGGAAATACGCAACTCCATAGCTGCTATACAAACCATAGCGTGTCTCTTGTCAGTGTACGTATGTATAAACTATAGAATCGAATAATGAATGCTTGCAGAACTGATCCTGCTGTTGTTCTATTATAGGAAACGTATGTCATTGATTATGTCACGTTCCCACGCTTCTCTTTAACGTACGCTGTTACTTCGTTCGGTGCTGCCTTCAAACACTCCTTCCTGCTGATTACTACAGCTGATACTATGCGTCGAATGTACGTGTTCGTGCAACTTGGGTGCATTTGTTTTTGCCTTTGTAGCACACAACCCCAATCCGCGTGTGTTTAAAAGTGACGATAGTTACTTTTCAATAAATCGTTGATTTGAAGCAGTCGCCAGTTCCTCATTTGAAAATCGGCGCGCAGAATGATGTTGACAACGACAACGACAACAACAACAACGACAACAGCTATGGCTACTAACTATGGCTATGGAGAAAATCCTAGAGATATCTAATAGGCAATTGTAGGTATCTGAGAAAACGCGATGATCTACAGGCGTTGTTGCAACCGCACAAACTTCTTTTTCTCTGAAAAGTTTGGTCCTTCTTTTTGTGTTCACGACTATCGTCAACAGGAGAATACGTGTGTTAGACAATTAGCCACTTCAAATATGCCTATGCATTACGTCTATTATAATCATACGTGAGGCGGTTTTTCCAGGTAATTATTTATGTACAGTACTGCGATAGCAAAAAGAATTGCTACCCTGTGTATTGAGCTTATAATATACAAGTACAAAAATCGTGTTCAGAATCTATAAATTCAACTGTCGAGTCTCGTCGAATAAGCATTCTATTTCTAGAAACATGGCACGCCACTTCTACGCGTTTTGCCGCAGTCGCAGATTAAGACGAATCGTCAGTGTCCTTGCTCCACCGTACAAACATGTTCGCCCAGATTCTTGTCATAAAATTGGTATCACCCATGAGCCGCCTTTCTACGTGCGCGTTACACATTTGCGTAATTCATTCATAGCCGATACCACATAGCAGCATGAACTTACTCCAACATAGTCTGCTGCACACCAGAAAACAAACAACGCTATCCAAGTTCTTAATCCTTCTGCATCTTCACAGATTGTCCAGTTTTGCAAGGCAATCAATTGGCAAACCATTCATTGATCACGTATTTTTTCCACCATCGCAATTTTCTTCCGACATTCACGTGTTACGCGTAATTTTTTTCCGTTTATGGGCATTCTGTCTTCTCCCTTTTGCCCTCATAGGAAAAAAATGCATGTAAATTTCGTTTTTAGTTATTTAATGTTCGAAATGCTGTTTAATTTCTGGCCTACCGTTTCTTATTGTCTTTGTTTACCTTTCTTTGAGATCTTGAATTCTTTTCCCACAAATCCCTATATGAGTCTCTCTTCTGCTCGAGCATTTGCATATTCGTATGTCGCCTCCCCGTAATACACATGCAGTCAACACAAGTATGATGAAGGACTAACAGATTTTACTGTTTGTCATGAAAACGCAAATCTTTATCTTGTGCTTAGATTCGACGTACTCACAAAATACAACAGCAGACGCCATCATCATCATCACCAGCAGCAGCATGATCATCTTCATCATTGTCTTTTCCTTTCTTTCAATAAATTAAGTCGAAAACAACTACAACAAAAAGGTTTTCTTCAAGGACTAGCTGCTATATGGCACTACACTCACTTTAGTCCATATGTCACCCTCCTGTGGCGCCGACGTTGCACAGCTGTACAGAACGAAAAAAAAAATGGGGATTGGGGTAGTGTAAAGGAGGAAACAGTGAGGCGGGGTTGTCCAAAGGATAAATATGTTACTTCCTCTTTGCTCACTAGCGCACAGTAAAACATGCAGACAGGCGGCAGGCAGAAAGATCTACATAACGGCCGGCAAGCTTCTCAGGTAAACAAGACATTTAAAGCCATAAACCCATCAAAAGTGTTGGACATCGCGGAGCCTTGAGGACGTAGAGGTACAGTTACATAAAGCGAAGCAATTACAGAACAACGGTGTAACTAAGCCCCTTGTTCTGTATCACAGAGGTCCCGATGCTTCTTTCCATAGTCTCTACCAAGTTGGCAACCTTTTGCCCAACTGAAGAGATCACAGCAATAGAGGAAATACCATTACAGAGAAACGGGGCAATGGAAAGGGAAAGCCAGCGTCTCGCGGAGGGAAATGACAGGTACACATAAATGCAGAACCAAACGAAACCTTCCATTTTCGACAGACTGATTACCAATGGGAATTGCAGAAGACAAGCCAACAAGAACGCAAAGCAGACCGTGACAAATACTTAGGAACGAGAATGACATAACTCCACGACATTCGCCTGAACGGTTAGGGAACGGTCAGAGCCTACTCTCCTCACGATCTTTCAGCAGCTGCACAAAGTTTTGTTAACAGCTTTATCAATCATGTGTATTGGTGGAGAAAAAATCACAAAACAACTTGATGCGTTCAAGTTAAGCTGAAAACACTCAAAGCATATTATGGTCAATAGTTACCCATGGTGTGTCAAACGACTATATACATATATATATATCTAATAGAGCAGGAAATTATTAAATGGGTTGTATGCTATCATTGCATTATCACACTACTTCAAATAACCTCGGCACGTATCGCCTATATTTTGTCAAATTTAAATTAAAGATCTTGCCAACAAAATCCACTCAGCTACGACGATGGAAGCGTGACGCTGGCGCCATCTACCGACTAAGTTCTGCGGTGTGCGCAAAAAGTACGATATTTTTCGCTATATTTGATAGCACTGAACCGGTGCTTCTGGGATCGCGCCCTTAAGCAGGTAGAATAACCTTGGAAGTGGAAATGTTATGGCAACCGCCACAGTTGGTGCTGTTACCGGCCGCTATTAGGTTATTTAGTGCTCAGGTAGCATGTCAGCTGCAGAAAATAGAGCGCTGCATATCGTGCCGTCATATTCTGGCACTGTAATATATATATATATATATATATATATATATATATATATATATATATATATAGCACAGTCTAGTTTTCACAAGACTCCTGCAAACTATTCCGCTGCCATTTTTCAGCCAACGGTAATCAAAAAAACGCGCTATTTAGTCGTAAACCAACAAGTATGCCTCCGCCGAACCCATATGCACTAACTGTATGCATTTTATATTTATAGTATTATTTAAAACGCCACCGCTAAGCAAGCAAGAAGCGTCCGATCTTTAGTACGGTCGAACGATTCAAAATAAATATAATAACTTTACAATAATATAAACTATTATAGTCATACAATAGACCACAATTATAATGATCGAACCATTATTACAGAAATATTAGTTAAGTTAGTCAGTCGTATAGACGGCTTCACGTTGATCCATATGAGCAAAACGATGCTTGTAGTCGCCACAATGGCTGAATTATTTACAAAAGAGGAGATTCCTTGATAAACACTAAATTCTTACAGGCCTGCATATCAGACAGATTATGACCAATCATTGCTGGGTAATCGTATTTAAGGTTCCTAGAAAATACTTTGCACAAATATCGTATGAGCAAGCTATAATATACTCTAAGACAAAGTGCTGGAACATTTTGCAGAAACGAACGTATTTTGCACTGCAACACGGCGAAGTAAATCAACAGACTGACGTTCGGAGGACAGCCACCAGTTAATCAATTTTGAGTACGGGATCTCTGGTACAAATCGCATGAGCAGGTACTAATTGGCTTTGAACTCAATCCCATAGGGAGCCGTTGGGAACCTAGCCTCAACAAAATCCTGGAACATAGTTTCTATCGCAGAAGTTTGCATGAGTGAACGCAGGTCTGACCAATGGCGTAACCTTGTGCAAATGATGTTAAGAATTATAATCCCGGTCCAATAAACAATTTCATTGTTCATTCAACTTCATTCAAGCAACTTCAAGATTGTTGGCTGGCATGAATACTACGTATATTACTTCTATCGTTGTTCGCCGCATTAGACAGAAGGTAAACCGTCGAGTTTTAGGTGAAAATGGGCGATCAGTTCGTTAGCCAATAGTCTTTGTTAGTCAGAATGCTAAACGGTCTTTTGATTGCTGACCAATACGCGGATAGGACGATGATTAAATATCCGTAAGGGGCCGTTGAAAACTCTAATGCCAAATACATCTAGAACTGTCAACTGTATTATTACCTAATGCACACTTCTCATACTGATCCTTCCATTTAATTTCCTCTCGGCAAACTCCTAAGCAAATCCTTTTTGCCGAGGTTCGTTTATGCACGCTCACAATTACGCTCGATTTATGCCTTTGTGTATACGTTCGCAGACAGATATTTTCGGAATGATTTCAACGCATTCGCGATCGCTGCGTAACCCACAGCCACCCGAGTTCCCGTTTGGGCAACTGTTGTCTCGAGAGACCAGCCCAATGTCTACTTGAGAACAGTTGACGTTGCTGCGATAAAGACTTGCTACAGTGTCGGGACTCGCGTGAAGTTTTTTGGGCTTTTAAGCCTACATCTCTGTTTACATCAAAATACGTTAACTCGTTTCATCACCTCCTTAGGCGAACCTACACAGAAGCATTATTACCTTTTACAAGTTTTCTCCGAACTGTGCCAATTTCTGATGCCGAATTCTGGCTGAGGGCAATAAAGATATAAACATCTACTTACGAGCCACTGACGTGAGTACGAATAATATGCCGCCCAAAAGAATCCACCCAATTGATTAATGCGTTGGGTTGCCTGTTGACCTGAACCGTTGCGGTTATATTTGTCGGAAGTTGTCTATATGCGGAGATGAGTTTGATTGAGAGATTGAGTTTCAGTGGAAGAAGACCAACTAATAGCAAATAAGAAATAAATCGGGCTTTGGTCTATTAACTTAAACACGCGGTCGGCCTCAAAGCTTGGGCAGTACTTGAAGTATATTAAACAGCTCACATTAAATAATATATAGTAGACGAAACAGTTGCCCCCTTCCCACCATCTATGACAAAACACAACGTACTACCGTTTGCGAGTCGTAATCGTTGCGATTAATATCACTCTTAGAATAAGCATCCGGCTTGACCTATAACTTAAGATAAAACAGTCGATAATAACAGCATGAAACTTCGTTTGCAAATACTGCAAGGAACCAAAACTACATCAACTTCCATCTGTCCGACGGATTTGGGAAAGGTTGTTCTTGTAGCTTTGAGCGTCCGACGTTATGCACTACTCATTGTGCTATGCTAGAAAATGGCTGGATATATAGATGGTTGGTGTAGAAATCGACAGAAAAATTGGATAAATGGTCCTGGCTGTTACAGTAGCGCTAGTAAGCACTACGTTAAAATCCATCTCGATTACATAAAAGGCGATTGACGGCACTGATAGGCCATCGTTGTCGCCAAAAGCCTCTCCCAACCACAAAATCAAATAGGTCGATCAATTACTTGCCTTGCAACAGCGAGGTCGATGCATATAATCGGGTAATATTTTGTATCACTACGGCAAAAACAGACATATAAGACTCTTTAGCTAATTACTTAATAGTGGGATTAGCGGCTCCGTAACTATTATGGCATACAGGGCACGCAAGAGGGCTATCAAAATAATGCACAAGCGTCAAAGCAAAAGCTAAATGCAGAGTTTACCCTCAGCTTGGAGCCTCAGCTCGAAGCCAGAATTGTGATTCAGTAATATTACGAAACCTCATTTGTAGACAGTTTCCTAAATCGGAAGCAGTTGAAAGTTCGTAAGTTTTAGCTTCTTGCAAACAGCACTTCGAAAACTAGTTTGTTTTATGGACGATAAATTAACCGCATGTCAGCGCATGAGTTCCTCTACCGACTGACCAGGTGAACTCGTTAAGCTACCCATACGTTTCTAAATGAAAAGCGGAAGCCCACAATTTATTCACTTGCCTAATGATCTGCGAGTTGAATCTAAGACAAATTCCAATAGCTACACCACAAGCAGAAAAATGTCCAAAAGGGAGAATGTACTCTAGGATGAAGGATCAAATTAGTGAAACGTTTATACTAACCTAGGCAAGGTGAAAAGGCCGCGATCAGTCCTTGACGGGCTCTGACGTCGTCGGGGCACAAGACCCTCAACAAGATCGCGTTCACTCGCCGATCTTCTTTGCATCGTCGTTGAGGGTAAGACAATACCTTCGTTTGCCAAGTGCGTACCACTGTTTTGGCCAATATTGTTATCCTCGTTTCCTCCTGGGACAGATCTGCCGCTAGAGGCGGTTGCCGGCGCTGTGGACCGGCAGACTACCGCTACGCCCCCTCCAGCAGGCGACATGGCCTACTAAAAATGATTGAGGCGATAGCAATTCCACTTTGGCGGTGGACGTAGAAATTTCTAAAGTTAGACTAACTTCACCTTCAACTCGAAGTTGTTTGCCACAGCTCGGTGCTGTGACGGCACCAGTGGCTTCATTTGGCCCAGCTGGTGTAGCTAGACCTTTTGCCGTCAGCGCCACCTCGGCACAGCTTCCGAATTACGCAAGTTGCAGCCAAAAATGCCCTGTAAACATAAACAAAAACCGATGTGATTAGTGAATAAATGTCAAAGGGAACGGTACAAGTTGGCACTAAGTGACGCAACCGTGATTAGTGTGTTTGTATATAGTAATGTCAGTGTAGCTTTGAATGTGGTAAATCTCGGCACTGCTGAACAGTCTCAAATACTTACTAGACTCTTTTTCGTTCACATGAGTCTGCAATATTCCAAGCACATGTCATGGACTTGGTAGCCCTTGTTGCTATTGTAAGCAGATCTATTTCTATACTAATTCAGCATTCATAAACTCACATGAAATAGACGCTTACCACCCGGAACCTATACACTTCCCGTCTCATTCAGCAATCTCTGTGTCATTTTTTTAGGTAAGTCTTTAGATATTACGGGGTTAATTACTAGATGTGTGCAATCTTTCCTAAAGTTACAAATCAAACTTTTGGTCAACACTCAGATGTTACCATTGAGTAGTTTTGGAAACGATGAGCTGTCGATATTATAGTATATATTATATAAAAACACACTTTCCTAAGAATTGGTTATTGTGCGTGTGTGTGAATATGGTAAATATATTATTATGAACAACGTTGTGCTTTGTATTCAATAACTTATAATTGGACGTCAATCATACGTAGCCACAAATCACATGTCTCTGTGGATCAGTGATTTATCTATTCATATTTGGACACATTAAAGCTTCGTAACTCTTGTAACTAACTAGTTTCCGTGGCTTACAACCCATTATACCTGAATGAAATGTGATTCGGAACGAAAATTACCCATCGATGCAGATAGCGGCTCTATCCAGCAATGCATCTCTTCGAGGCACAATACCCATGCGGCCTTTGATAATGTGTACATCTCAACCATACAAACAGAATGCTTCATTTTCCTCCGTGCTCTCCCAAGGAATACAATAATTCATCTTTGCCAAATAAGTATTTACACATTGACACGAATACAAAACGTTCTTATCTTCCATTGGTCCGTGGCTAACGACACCTCGATTAATTCTACGTCGTATTCTACGCGTAAACAAATAGTATGTCATCCCTCTACTGATAGCCAAAAATGCATGCAAGACAAAGTGCACAGTTCGCTATAAAGATGTTAGTTGATACTGAAAGGACCGATTAGACTGAGGAGCACGGACACACAGTTCTGTTGAGTTTCATTCGGAAACCAAACTAACAATCACAGGAATGGACTACTGAATTGCCAATGGTCAAACCTATCAAGCGTGGTTATCCCTCGGGTTATCATCCATATTAGTAGTCGCGACAGGGTGTTTTGCGCAAGACAACACAATGTGTTTCTACACATGGTAACATCATATACATTGATTCTTCCTCTTCCTGCTCATGATTCTTATTGTCTGGAAGGCTTTATTGAGTTGCAACGTCGGCTTTCTAGTGCAGCTGTGCCAAATTTAGTTGGAAATCTATCACTATTTGGCTACGACAATGTATAAGAACGCAAGAGCTACAGAAAGATAGTATTGCTCTGAAGCGTCGACCGAATCTCGATAACAATATGAGAATCACCGATATTTTAGCGCCAACCTACAGCTCAGTTGGGTCGGGTTCATGGTCGTTCGGAAATGACCACATTTGCACTATCGTTATGCAACGCCCGTCGTTATTCGAATGTGGTGCTTCTAAAAAGCTAGTAATGGCAATTAATACCGTTTTCGATAATATGTCTAACTTGAAAATATATAAACATCTAATTGACTTGAAAGATACAAATCGTATATACCGAAACCTTTAGCGACAAAAATATGGGTGCAATCTCGAGGTCAAAATGTCCTGCACGGGATCCTAGTATCACCTGTATTCTTACATCTCCGCCGTACATTTCGCTCGAACTTTCTGTACTTTTTGCCTAATAGGAAACTGCAACTTATTAGCTCGCAGCAGGTACTATTCATTGTAATTGTCTGGGAGTGTCCGATATTCAGCACAACGGTTGTCGAGCCCGCATGTCCTGAATGCACTCCTGAACAAATATAATACAACTACGCAATAATCAAACTGATAAAAATGATCAATAAACTACCTGCAAAATACAGAGTTCTCTAGACAACTAGACGGACAGTTGAGAAAATCGTGACAATTTCAGCTCGTCCTTAGGCACATAAGCTATGCCATGGTACAGAGTAATGCTAGCACGGACATCAGCAGTTCGTTCTATTTTGAGAAGTCTTTGCCTGTGTTTTGTTTCTAGCAATGCCCCCCCCCCCCCCCCCTCCCCGGGAAAAAAGAAAAAACAGAGTTGTCTATTTGTACTTATTTGCCATATATCGCTTTTCATTCCTCTTTTTTTGAGTTATTCATGAAAGCTGTTATTACTAGAACAAGTACTCCACAACACGAGGTCTGCGTCTGTCGCCTGTCTACGCTCATCATGAAAAGGAATTAAGGGAACGGATTCTTAACAGGCATGAAAGTAAACTTCGTAGACTTCTAATTCAGTTTGCAAAAAATAGTGTTAATTCAATATAGGGGAAGAATGCACGAGGACGTGCACAGTGTTTCCTGCTTGACAAAAGCTGCGTACGTACGTAGATGCAGTGGGACTTAAGGCCTCACAGCAAGTGAAAAACACTGTTGTGTATTTGACAGTGGAAAATAGACTAAATGTAGTTATTGAAATTTCAGTGTGCATTTACTAGACACTTAAACTGCACCGAAATCTGACAAGACGCTGTAACATACGTTTGTATGTAGCTACATACAAAAGTGCGGCTTTCGTCAAGCAGGAAACGTTACCTACGTTCTCATATATTGTTCTTTCCCGTGTTGTACTAGTTCTTCGCAGACCGAACTAAAAGTCGACAATATTCACTTTGATGCGTCCTAAGAACCCATCTTTTCGGTTTGTTTCTAGTGGAAAACCTGCTTTTTAATTTCAGCTAAGCCTGTAATCGAAAACATTTACAGCAAGCATTTAGAACATTATAAAGCTAGGACATTGGTTAAACTATAGTCGGTACCGCGCTAACAATCCGGAAATTTAAAGTGGACTAGTGATTAGAGTAGTTCTGGTGTACAACAAATCTCAAGGATTAACATGATTTTTAAACCCCTGAAATATGGAGAAAAGCTGGGTAATTATCATATGACAAAAAGGCAACAAATACAAGGACAAAAAGTGAAGCATTTATTCGATAAACATCGAAACGTAGTTTATGGTACCGCAACAAAGACTCTGAGAAGGCACTTTTTATAGATATAGAAATGTCTAATTGGTTTATTACTAGTCAGCACGTGCTACTTAGAGGTGTTCAAATCATCTCCTGAGAGGCTTCGGGAACGCATTTCTCATGAATGCCCCTAATCAAGCAATACGAACCAATATTTCCCCAGAAAACATAATAGACCAGCGATATGATCTGTAGGGTATACTTACTTTGGCACCTCTTAAGCACTTAAAGCACTTGTTAAAGCCGTTACCAAATTTGAGATGAATAGATATTAACCAACTATGTGAGCCTAAAAGGACACTCTAAAAAAGCACTGACTTACAAGAGAACACTATGACCTTTTAAGACCGCTCAAATCATATCGTACGTAAATAGCGTGCAAACATATCCCCAAGCCAGAACTGGTAACAATCTCTGTATTGCAATGAGAGTAGCTGTTTATATTTGACCTGGAATTGGCCTTTATGTATATGTATAGCCTCATTTTGTTCACAAGATTCTAAAGCTCACGAGAACGTGTACAAGCAAATTAGTTTTTTTTTTCTTCTTTTATAATGATGATCCAGCTTGTAACAACATTTCATAAGCCGTTGCTAAATATTAAAAAAAGTCTCTCTGTAGTATGATTTGAACACGAACCTAATTAAAACATTCACTCACTTTTGTTTATCATTTTCAGACATTCATACACATAATCACAATTACTTTTTATCACAACACGCACTACGTGTGTCACTTCAAGCAAGCTTATTGATTCATGCGAAAAGAAGTGGCAATTTCCCCTCTATTGTCTATCATTGTTCGCTCTGGTGAAATACTTTAAACGCGATCGCCGCTTGTATCGCCACAGCCAAACTCCTATACGACGCATAGATAGCTATGTTGATGTACGCAAATACATGCGGTCACCTAGCGATATTCGTGACGTCGAGTTGTTCATTGTACTTCGTTCGTAGACGCCAAGTTGGTTCTGTTGTTAGGGTGGGAATCGTCTTGTATGGCCTTCATGTTCTCGACCTCGCCACAGTGATGACGACGACGTTGATCTTGCTGCTGCTGCTGGTGTTGTTGTTATGGTCAGGATGATTAGGTTGACAGAGCTTTGTCATTTATGAGTATCGGGGCCTGTACCGGTCTGCCGCACTGAATTCAAATGGCGTGAGCGGTACATACGTGGAGAAGAGTTCTATTGGAGCCGCTATGACCAAGTGTCACATCAAACAAGCAAAGTTTACGAGTGGACTGATCGAAAGAGCCATTGGTAGGTACAAATAATATTACCGCTGTTGCTCCATTTGCTGCTCGTATCTATAATATTATTCTATGATGTATCATGCTGCGACTAGTGAATACAGTTTAACATTTATCCTCCACCCACGCATCGTAAATCGTGTCAATCAGGTAGGGTTAATAGCATCACGAGCGACAACCACCATTGAATTAGCCAACGAACACGAACTCGGCAAACCTATTCTTACTATTATAGATTATTATAACCTCAGTAAAGCTCCAGTAGGTACAGACACTCGTACATACATCGATGCCCCACCGGTAGCTAGCATCGCATATCTGAGAAATAAAATCGTCCCGTTCGATAGAGGACAGCAGTTCCGATTCACCCACTCCTCAGTTCTATGTAGCAGCCCGACTAACTATTAGAAATCCAGCCAACGGCGGCGGTTAACATTACGACCGCATTAATCAAGTCCATTGTCTCTCATGGCCATTACTTATTACCCTCCTGCGAGATATCAAGATCTATGAAATATTCTTTGCAAATATATCCTTCGTATATGATTGCTTTAAACGTCTGATGATATATCAAGGCTTTTTAAATTCTATCTTTTCCGACTTGGACATCCACTGGTGTGGTGGATGGGTCCCACGTGAGATTGATTATGTCTTTCAAAAAACAGTCAAGAGACTTTACATAATAATGTTCTATGCTGTATCAATCCCATAACATAGTGCATCCTTTTTTGACCAGATTCTTATAAAAAATACCTTTTTTAAGCGCGTTTAACACGTCTCAAACGAGAGTGCCATTTCTATCAACCTGCCAATTTAGGTATTCCGGGCGACGCCAGTAACTCCTCTAGCGTAATACTCCGTCAAAGTCTTTCACAAGTGAAATTTATCCGGTTTAATTGTATAAGCACTTGGCGTGCAGTACAAGCTCAATCCGTATATTGATATATGCCATGTATTAGCTATCTAGTCTAAAGACACTTTTCATTTAAGTCAATGAAGACCCCGCTTCAGCGTGAAGTTGCATAACTTTCACATTGCTACCTACCGTTCAGGCCGAAGAGAGTTAATTTAGATCGCACCACCAGCTTTTGAGCGCAGTTCTACTCAATGCACGACGAAGCAGCACCAACGATCAATAACAACTCTATAACGAGCAACTAGAGTAACTTTTGTTGATGAAAACATCGGTCTTCTATACATTTGTTTTGTATAGCATTCGCCGAGAGATAAAACGCGCTCCCCCCTCCCTTTTTTCTTTACCATGCGTACAATCAATTGATTATTATGTGACTTAACAACTCTATCGTAATGGAACCGTTCGCAGCACAAAGCACTCGTTGGAATCCGTCTTACAAAACCGAATGACTAATTGACGAGCCCGAGGCGATCACCTTTTGTTCCTGTTATTGACGTTGCTTTACCTTGTCGCTTCTTCGTTCACAGTTATCACTGCTCTGTGAAGTATCGGCTGAATATCCTCTATCACCATCCGGCACTTATTATCAATGTTATTATTATCCATGTGCTTTTCACTTGCCGTGATTCTTTTCATTACAATGCTCTATGTGTACACAGTGGAGGTTGAATACACAACGTTCGAGGTGATTCCGTAACTATTGCAGTCGGACAATAACTCTCAAATTTGCGCCTTTGTTGTACTGGTGGCCTGCAGTCGGCGAGTCGAAGAGCGCTTGCCTGAACCTGAGGAAGGTTACTGAGCGTGTTCGCCTTATCAATTTCTTTTTTGAGATAACTGCTTAACAATCATACCCTCGTATAGTGCAACAACGAAAACAGGAAGGTCACTTAACGAAGTAATGCGAGATGTCCATGAGGAAAGCGACTCGAATCTGACCAGCGGCGGCGTTAGCGGTCGAATTAACGTCAGCAAAGAGTGCGCCAGTATATTATCTATTGCTATTGTATGTAACGCCCCCTCAAACTCAGACGATAGAACACAACCAGTCGACCGATAAATATGTCCACGCTCGATCGGTTTTCTTCGAAGGCTGCGTCCCCTCTAACGTTCAGTTGAAGACGACGATGAGACGACCGACTTTAATGGACCTAACCTAAGTAACTGAAACCGAAATTAGCACATGTTCGTTGGATCGTTGAACCGTTTTTTTTAACAGCTAGTAATATTGCTCCCCTCGACTGTTACATCAAAGATTTATAATATATTATATAATATTTATCCTCCACGATAATCGGCCTACGTACGAGTTGCCTCGCTTCATTTGTTGTTCTATGGCTGCTATCATTGACCGGGCTGGCTGCTCCCTGCATGCATCTGTCGATGATTGCTGCAGTTGTCTTTATCGGGTATTGATAGGCAGCGGTAAAAATTGGGGGATCACGAGGGACACGGAAGCGGAGACGATGAAAAAGCTCGTACTCCTACAGCCGTTGCAGGGTCCGTCGTTTCGAAGGCGGGAATGTAAACTCGAATGCGACTCGAATCGGACCAATATTAGTTCGATTCAAGCAGTGCTATGACACCCCTCTCAGACCTTGGCTGCTTATTACAGCTGTTATTGCTATTGCAACGGACGGCAGAAGCAACAACCGCCACAATAACAGCAAGTACCACCAAGCGAAAACCACGATAGCGTGATCTGTAACAACGCACGTTAACCAGCTACAGGAATAGCACAAAAACACAATTTTAGTTGTCGACTTCGTCCATTAATGATGACACGGTCGTTGTTGCTATTGTCGCCGTCAGAGCCGCCGCTGTTGATGATTGCTTTTTGTTTCTTCTTCAATTTCGTCGGCGCTCAATATTGCGCTCTGTGACGTCCACAACGAAACCAACTCGAGTCAACTTATACGTTTCGTTACAGCCAATACTCACAACCTGCCGCTGACGACGGCCGCAATAAATAAACGACGACTACTACTAATAATAATAGTCAAAGCGACGATGACGATATGGGGCGGGCAGGCACGGATAACAGCAGCCAGTCAGCCAAGCCAGGACGCTACCGCTATTGGCGCTTACGCTTGTCGCCGTGTACACCGATCGGCCCGCGCCGTATTTACTAATACGACGACAACACCATCGCGGCCAGACGGTAACGGCAGAGAGCCACACTCACTCACCCACAGGCCGCGACAACTTACACAGTCACCTGGAAAATAATGTAGATACGCCGCTGAGAATAGTGGCCCGTCGAGAGGGAGCAACGCAGGGGAAAGGGGTAAACAAAATGGAGAGAGACTGAACACAGGTTGACAGCCAAACGCGACGCAGACAACAATGAACCGCCCACGGCCGTAATAACATTGCAAAAAGAGGAAGGGAGAGAGAGAAAGAGAGGACTCGTGGGTTTGGATGTTGCTGCTGCTATGAGATGGACACAGACAAAACAGGGCTACTGTGCGATGGCGGCGGTGCCCTCGAGGACAATCATAACAAGGTGATGTCGTCAAAGTTGGCGGGCGCACAAGTGACCAGTTGGTGGAGAGGAAAGGGCGGGGAATTTGAATATTGACGACTAAGATCAAATGGGTAGAGTAGGTTGGCGTGTTATCATTGCTGTAAAAGGTCAGTGGATAACCAGCTTGCATGGTAGTCATATGGACACATAGTGATCTAGGCTCGAAACCGAGCGTAAACACAATTCATTTCAGGGTGGGAATCAGCTATCCGATAAAATGCCTAACATGAAATATTTTTTTAATTCGCTGTTTATTATTCACGCTTTAACGTGAACAATTCAGAAAATCTGAACTTTTTGCTTGTCAATACTTGAAGTGCTTTTAAATGCCGATCTCTATAAATGACAAACAGTGCCTGTGCAACATAATAAGGCAGCATGACCGTAAATTGTCGCAAGCTAGCTATTGCGTTGTAACAACCCGCTCAGCTGGATTACTGGGGCCCGACTTCCCGCCATCTTAGCGATTGCACAGCAGCAACCAAACCGGGACGTGGCCTAGCAGACGACGCCGTCAACCATCGGAGAAAAAAGGAAACTGATAGAGAGTCCACAGAGGCGCAGTCATCCTGGCAGAGAGACAGTCTATCAGTGTAGTTTCTAAGGGACATTCGAAGCAGCGCTCTGTATTTATCCTACAGCTGAGATTCGTTCACCGATCGTCGGAGGGTGTGTGTGTCTATGTGAACAAACGTCAACAGAAAAATAGTGCCTGTATGTAAGTAGTAATGATACGGCGTTCTATATAAATAATGGAAAAGACAACCAAACTAAATGCATTATTTAGCTACATGGTGTTACTACTCTAATACATGGTAACGCCAGTAAGTTAAAAAATACTGCACGAGTGTTCGAAAATTGTCACCGCTCGTTAGTTTGCTGTTGTTTTTGTCGAGCATCCGAACGTGTACCCTGCTTTGTTAGGTTAAAGGTCATTTTGTTACTTTGTTCGATATCAACGTAACTTGCTTAGATTTTACCGCAGACTAACATCGCTTGTTTCAGCTGGGTAGAGGAAGACAATAAATAATTGATAGAGGGACGATTCGTTGGGATTTTTTAACCCTACTAAATACTACTTCAAGTTCTGAGCCGAGATCAGGTTTACTTGAATTAAATGCTGGCTAGAGATTTACAAATCTAACGAAGAATCTGTAATAAGTAATCTAGTTCAAGAAAGATATGTCCGTTTAATATATATATATATATATAGAGCAAAGCGTTCATAAAGCGGTATTATCGATTTGGAATAATCAAACTTAGTGCTACGCAAGATAAAAGCAACATATTGTTGAACGGCGCTAACTAAAAAACAAAATATCGGCCTGCTTTGCATTAGTTGCAATTTCCACTATCCCATACTGTAGTTGTACTTCAAACGATAGCTATAAAACAGATAATGCGGGGTCTACAAAAGTTGACCGAAAAGCTAGAAGACTGCAATACCAAGTATAACATGGCTGGTCGAAATTGTCCGCGTGGAGAAGAACATAAATCGAAAACGCTAAACGTAATCGTTATACATACGGGATGATTTTTAACAAAATACGTTTGTGGCGTATAACAATGTATGTTATTGGAATGTGAATGCTCTACGTATACTTCCAATAAACTCATTTCTTAAATCTAGTTGTATATCACCAGCAAACTCACGCATGTATCGTGACCTGATATCACAAATCTTTATGTAGCCTCATAATGTGCTGATCTTGGCGCTGATCTTGGCGTCTTCGCTTGCAGCAGCCACGAATACGCAGATTATGCCATCGCGATGCGGAGTCGTCGCGTCAACCGGTCTCATCGTTCCTTTCAACTGTGAGCGAAGAACGACGTTTATCGGCGACTATTCGCCAGGACTATCGAAATGAAGAGTGACATCCTGACAACAGCCGTCGTCGAAAGCAACGTTTTTTAGGTCTTTTCCGTACGAAATAGTGCAGCTCGACTCTCGACAGAGATTTTAGAGATATTAAGGACAGAAGTGGGCTTGCAATTAAATTATTACACGTAACATCTCATTTAATTACATATATTTTTTACTTTGAAGAGCATAATATTGAGGCAGTAAACACAAACACCAGAGACAACAATGATACAGATACAAACGAAACTGTCACGAGAGCCGGTTTACATCGCTGGCGATGTAATCGAATGTGTGATATCGTTCAAAAACATCTCTCAACTATGTGAATCTACCGGACCAGAGATACTCGCTTGGTCGTCAGCACAACTTCATTGTTATTGCTCCGTTGACGAAGCAAAGTTAAAGTTGCCCAGCAGCGTGCGCTGTGACCAGTTGGTCACAGGAACAAAAGAAACTTCGTTCGTGCCCAACCAGGGCGAGAAGGGTTTCGTCATCTATTCGTCGCAGCCAACAATCCTCCTTTGTGATTTGCGCTTGCTCCCAGGAGATGTGAAGACTTTTGTGTATAGAGAAAAATTACCGCCCGGACTCCCACCATCATACAAGGGCCAAATGGTCAAGTACAGCTACAAGATCTCCATTGGTACACAAAAGATCAACGCGGCTAGTAAGCTCTTTAAGATCCCTCTAAAGGTTTTCTGCATAGTAGACTTCGCTTATTCCAACTCGGAGTGCAGTCTTAACCACACGAAACAGAAATCGTTTGGCGGAGATAATAATAACAATAGTGGTAGTGGCACAAACAATAACGGGAACACCAACAACCAGCAAAATTCTTATGGCAACAACCCATTTTTGAGTCCCCTAATTAGGCCAAGTCTGGCTGAGTGCGCTATGGAGTATCTCGAAGACGTGACTGCACCCCGCCAACCAAGCTATTTCAATATCACTCAGGGAAGCGAGCATGATGTCGCGCGGTTCTGTCTTCTCAAATCCAATTTCCGCTTGGGTGAGGATATCGTCGGTACGTTTGATTTTTCCAAAGGCACAATTCCATGCGTGCAGTTTTCGGTGACACTGCAAAGTGTTGAAAGAACTCGTGATGGCAAGTACACGCAAATTCTGCCCTACAGTAAAGCTCATGAAATTTGCTTATTCCTCCGGCAAACCCATGTTGCACTACCAATCCCTGTGCACGTAGCTCCATCGTTTGAGACGGATCTTGTCGAACTGTCGTGGAGGCTGCACTTTGAGTTCGTGATGACTCCGAACGACCTCAAAACGTTCCCGCCAGACCTTCTTCAACATGCTGATGCCAACTGGGAACCGCCAGCCGAACTGGATGTGCACACTATGGTCTGGAACCTGCCTGTGAACATCTTTCCTTCACATAGTGCCCACATTGCTGCACGCTTAAATCTTCAGAGAGAGTTCTATACAGCCTTGTAAAGTGGCTATGTAAACCATTAAATGTTGCTCATGTAAAGTCACTATTATTAAATATACTGGCAGGTAAATTTACACGAGTTGCTCAAATTGTCCGGCCTAAATCCAAGTTCTAATTCCCAATCAACGATTCATTGTGTAATTTGTGTGTTTAACGGTAGAATGAAAAAGCCAGTATTCGGATTCTAAGAACGACTGCAGTGTTTAGTTGTGTTAAATTTCGTATTATTGCTTGTAAGTTGTTTACAGCATTTGTTAACAGAGAGATTTCTGCGAGTTTTTAAGGACTCTCTTTATCTAGTGTCTGGAATCCTGCTTATTATTGAATTTTAGATGACGTCAAATTATAAATGACAATCTAGGCTAAACAAAATGCTTCAAGGAGATACAGAGGCAGTATATTATGGCAAGAGTTGGAGATCCGGCAACCTTAATTGACTTTAGTAGATCAGTCAAGCTGACAATCGCTTGGCCTTTTCGTCTACATGTTGATGTATATAACGAGAAGAAATGTATATTTACATCGAATTAAAGAAATAAAATCGGTCAATACGTTTACAAAATTATTTTTTGTCTTCTATTTCCAGCTAGAACTATAGCCAGTTTCAACCAGTCGTAAATAAAACACCATACTAGTAAAATCTAACTGCTCTTACACCTAAAATTGTCTTTCAAGTTTTTCTTTATGAAAGAAACTTGGTTGTCGCTACAAGCCATACAAATATTCTTATAATGCACTTCTCAGTAACTAAAATTCTAGTTATAATTGAATAAATTCGGAAGACTTCAGAATAGGGTGGCACTGAAGGCATTATATACAGTTAAAAAATAATAATTGATTTCCTTCGGAACTGAGCGAAATTTCGAAGTAATACTCTCGGAATCTAAGAATTGAGAGCAAAATAAATTTACACAGAGTGAAGCGCGGCTTTCCGAGGGACGCTGATATTTCCTTATTGCAATTCTTCAAATAAACAAAAAAAAAATAAATTTCACTCTGTTTTTAACTGTTTGATGTTTCAGCCGACACATTTAGAAAGAATGTTGTCGAATATTATGAAAGAGCACAGTCAACGGATGAATCAGAGGCGCGATGAGTTAGGTAAGTTTACTGAATAACATTTTAGAACGAATAAATAGCATAGTAGAAAGTAACACTGTATTTTTTAGATAACATCGATTATAGGATGCTCGCAAATGCGCATCGCATATTTGATGTACTGAAACTTTACATATAAGCCGACTTATAAAGACGAAACAATCGAACTCAATCCACTTTGGATTTTTCGGTTCAGATTCTGATGAATGAAGCTTATCGTTCTTATATTCGCGATAGATGCATTTATTCTCTGTTTTAACCATCCATCATGTAAATTTGACTCTGTAACATACATTCGTATAAGATTCTTTTTCGAAAAATCCAGAGAGTTACTTATTTTATATATAATAAAAATAAGTAACTCTCTGGATTTTTCGAAAAAGAATCTTATACGAATGTATGTTACAGAGTCAAATTTACATGATGGATGGTTAAA